TTAATAAAAAATCAATAATAAATTTGATTTATTGGATAAAATTTTAAATTTATAAAATTTCTATTATTTAAGAAAGGTTAAAAATATAAAATTATAATTGAAGATATTAAACCTAGAACTCCACTTAATTTATTAAGAATTGATCGCAAAATTGAATAAGCAAATAAAAAATATCATTCAGGTTTAATATGAAGAGGAGTAATTATTGAATTTGCTATTTTAAAATTATCTGGATCTCTAAAATAATAAGAATATTGGAAATTTATAAATATAAAAATTGATAAAATTAAAATAAATACTAATTAATCTTTAACTGAAAAATAAAGATGAAAAGGAATTTTATGTATATTTCTATTTAATCCAATTGGATTTGATGAACCATAAAAATGTAAAATAATTAAATGAATTAAAACTAATATTATAATAATTAAAGGTAAAATAAAATGTAATGAAAGAAATCGATTTAAAGTTACATTATTAATTGAAAATACTTCGTTCAGAATGATCTTTCATATATTTATTAATGTGACATCCACCACGTGAGAGGAAAATATAATTATAATGTGAGTTTAGATTAGATGAAGGAAAGACGAATAAACAGTATTTGTTTATCTATAATTAAAATCATCGAAATTAAGTTTATCAAAATTAAAAAGTAAAATATCAAGTTATTTTTAATCTGAAAATAATATTGCTAGATTTTTGGAAGAATAATTTAATTTTCGGCGGGAAAGAAAAGAATATACAATAATGACTATTTTGGATCGAATAATATCATAATATTAAGTGAAATCAACCCCTAAGGGGTTAGGAGAGGAATGGAATTTAAACAATTATTTTTAAGTTTTTCAAATTTAATTTCGAAACTTTGTATTATACTTTGAAGAACGTTTGAAATTTCGAATTAAAAATTTTTTAAAAATTTCGATGTTTCTATCTTAAATATCTGTATTTTTAAATATAAATTAAAAAGTCGAACTATCAAGATTTAAGTAACTTTTATTCCGAAAATGAAGAGATCATACTGCTCTCAAAATAACACAATACTTCTGTTAATAGCTGTTAATATGAAATAAAATTTACAATTTATCAGTCAGAAAAGTTATACAAAAAATTTTTAAGTTTTTAAAATTTAATTTCGAAATTTTGTGTTACACTTTGAAGAAAGTTTAAAATTTCGAATTAAAAATTTCTTACAAAGAAAGTTTTACAAAGAAAGAAAAAAGAAACACGTTTCGATTGCTAGAACGATCATAAACACCCCTGATATGGGATGAACCAGTGTATAGCTAATATCTCGGGTCAGAGCAAAGGTAATATGGTCGAAGCAATACCACACGATCACTTGTAGCTACTGAGCTTAGGGTATATCGACGAACCGATGTTATGGCTAACACGGGGAATCTGTTATAGAAAGTGTGGACGAACTATTCTAACACTGAGAGTAACCGAAGTAAAGATGATTGTGGATCTCGTAACCTGTTATTTCGCGATATACCAGATATCAAGTGGTAAAGGTATATCAGTGCGAAATAGCTATTAGTGAAACTACCAAGTAATTTTAAACCGGTTGTTCGTGAGAATTACGCGAATTGAATTTGGCAATAGAGGTATATTCTAACGAGAAAGAAATACACGACAAATCGTTTAATAATTATCCAATTACGAATTAAAATTGATGGAAATAATTTTCTTGCACTGCATTTGGAGTAATTTACAAAGAAATTTTTATTCTAGAAGAGTTTAAATTTTAGAGGAATATTTTTAGATACGTAGTATTTTATTAAATGGTTCAGAGAACGTTTACCAAAAAGGGCTCATAGATTTATAAATTCTTTTTTTCAGAAATTTTCAGAATTATATTTATACTTGATTATTTACCAATTTTAAGGTTAAATTAAAATTGATGAAATTAACAATTATAAATTTTAATAACAATTATAAGTTTTAATAACAATTTTTGTCAATTTGATAATGTTTTCATAAAAAAAAAAAAAATGGATTTTGAGATTAACAACATATTTGGCTTTTCTTTTCTTTTAATTTTATGACGATTTCAACCTTCTGGTCTATAGCACATATATTAACTCGGAAGAATTATTGTTACTATTTCCTTGCTCGAGTAAGGAAGATGATCTATTGATTGTTTATTTTTAAAATTTTTTAAAGATAATAAATTTTGCAAACGTCACAGTTCCGACATTAATTTCAAGTTAACGCTGCAGATATTAATATCAATTTTTGTCACTTTGATAGGTTTTTGATTAAGGAGTTTGTTAAGATAACAGAATTCTTGATTGATTTGATTATCTTGATTATCTTCATGGATGATGACAGGATTGTAAATCACTTCATTATGTCTCATCTCTAATCTACAAATATATTGTATCAACAAAATGTATTTAATTACATCTTTGGTTCTACGTGTATTTTTAATTTTCTTTTTGCTATATATGCCATTGTATATGTATAATCTATAGAAAGATCAATGAAAATCTATACCTAAATTAATAATCTGTGAGAGAAAAATCTTCAATTTTAATATCACCATCTAGTTTCTCTCTAGCCCAATTAAAAGCAACTTCACAAATATTTCTATAGAAGAGAATTAAACACGATATCGTTGAGTGTCAAAGTTAGAATTCTATGTTAAAATTACAGCTTTAATTTTTAACTCTTTATATGCTTTGAAAATCTGCCAAAAATTGATAGCAAAGCAGCTTGGTACGCTTTGTGTTTGCAGCATGTGCACGAGTGGTGTGAGTCAACCCCTTTCACAGAGTGCATTAACCTAAATGCCACACGCTCCATTTTTGCAGAGGATTCGAACATAAAAATTAGAAAATTGTATGCTGGATAGATTTTTAACGAAATAGGTGAAAATCGATGAACGGCTACAAAAAGTGAATTACAGAAAAATAGTATTCTATTTTTGTTGCAAGTAGATTACTTAGGACCATTTACATATAATTTCGTATGATATTACCGGTATTAATCCTAGAATTTTTAATTTTTAATATAATATACAACTGACAATATTAATTACAATCGTATAATAATAAAATTTATATAATTATGTCATACAATATATTATAAAAAGATTATGACATTTTATACCCCAAAAAATTGAAACCAGTGATTTATTAAATATTTTCTATAATATATCAAAGCGTGTATCAATTACTATAAATTACATACACTTGGGGCTCTTTTCACCCATTTGTATCACAGTATAAAATTCGTGTGAAACCGAAACAAACTATTAAAAAAAAAAAAAAAATAATTTAAAACAGAATTACATTTTATATTTCCCACTTTGCTGGATTTGAAGTCAAAAATAAACAAAACCGGTTAAAAGAATCTTAACATAAAGAAATCCAACGTAACTGATTGAAAGGTTTTAACCCTTTGACTACGGCAGACTTTGATACGTAATTAGTGGCCATACTATACGGCAGGAATTGAGTTACGATGTGCGCCATTTTTGTGAAAACAAGCGCCCTCTGTGTCAGAAAGCCAAATTACGCCGAGCGCCTATAGGCGTCCTGTGCGCCACAAACGTAAAATTTCTAAGCACCTATAGATGCCCTCTGTGTCACAAACGTAAAATTTCTAAGCACCTATGGGCGCTCTCCGTGTCACAAACGCAAAATTTCTAAGCACCTATAGGCGCCCTTCGTGTCACAAACGCAAAATTTCTAAGCACCTCTAGGCACCCTTAGTATCACAAACGCCAAAATTCTAAGCACCTCTAGGCACCCTTCGTATCACAAACGCAAAAATTCTAAGCACCTATAGACACCCTCTGTGTCACGAACGTAAATTTCTAAGCACCTATGTGCGCCCTCCGTGTCACAAACGCAAAATTTCTAAGCACCTATAGGCGCCCTTCGTGTCACAAACGCAAAATTTCTAAGCACCTATAGGTGCCCTTAGTATCACAAACGCCAAAATTCTAAGCACTTCTAGGCACCCTTCGTATCACAAACGCAAAAATTCTAAGCACCTATAGACATCCTCTGTGTCACAAACGTAAAATTTCTAAGCACCTATGGGCGCCCTCCGTATCACAAACGCAAAAATTCTAAGCACCTATAGACACCCTCTGTGTCACAAACGCAAAATTCCTAAGCGCCTATGGGCGTCCTCCATGTCACAAACTCAAAATTTCTAAGCGCCTATAGGCGTCCACAGTAGCCAGGGTGTTAAATAACCATGCAAGACCCTGTGAAACGCGTAATAGGGGATCGAGGGAAATCAGTACCGCGTAGAAAGGGTGTACAGTAGAATAGTTATGAATAAAAGTCACACGTCACGCGAAGTATTTCTAGCAAATAAAATTCGCGAGTTCGATAAAAACATTATCGTAAGAAAAAAAAAAAAACAAAGAATTTGACGTAAACTACCGCAAGGATAAAAAGAGAACGAAGTCCTGTGATCACCCTCGGTGAAGCACGACGATCATTGCAACGGTGTCCTCGCCACGCGAGGTTCGCTCGTTTTAACAATTTTTCTCGGGTTTAACAAATAAAGCAGCTCCCTCTGTTGTCTATTGCTGCCGCCTTACGCGTGTCGTTAAAACGCTAACACGCGTGTTCTCGTAGCCACGCCATAAGGGAACGCTCGAAACCGGAAATCCCTCGTAGAACAAAGTATCTCTCTAAAATAAATGCGGGGAGAACAACAAAGCGCTAGTGTAATTAGTGGCGGTCTCTCGACGATCGTAACAAAGTACTGGCGCGGATATATATACCTGTACACCTACATACGTACGTACATAGGCACGTATATACGCACGTATGTACATATGGCCAGCTATCGCGTGTAATATCGAGCCATACGCTGTCAGCTCTACGACGCATCGTATTCTGTAAACGACAGCTATTTCGTTTCAATCAATGATAGCCTTTGAAAGCCTTTGATGTTGTTTCCTAATTATCGCGTAACCAGGGCAACGATATTGGATATGCGCCATAAACCCATAATGTCGACTCGTACAGATTGTTACAGCGGCCTGCAAGAGATCCAATGTCAAATGGATGATCCGGAAACGATATTTTACAACAAGACCTGTATGCCGGCCAGCCAGGTCTGCCGGAGCTTTGGTTTCGAGTGTGGCAACATCACGCATTGCTTCGACCACGTCAGAGTGATACCACTTCGGCAACTTTACGATCGGATCCTTTCCTCTGAGGAATATTTCAAGTATGCCGGTGTATATCTTATTATATCTTATATATTTCGTGATCATTGCAATTATCGCCCATCATTCGTCATCTTTATCTGATCGATATTGGCGCTGTAATTTTTGCTTCTTGGATTTTTATTTTTATTTTTATTTATTTTTTTTTTGGATCTTTTGGATGTGTTGTGTTTTTCTTCAGGTATCTTGGTAGCTGTAATTTTTGTTTTTTGGATTTTTATTTTTATATTGGTAGCTGTAATATTTGTTTTTTGAATTTTTATTTTTTTGGGATCTTTCGGACGTGTTGTGTTTTTCTTTAGGTATCTTGGTAGCTGTAATTTTTGTTTTTTGGATTTTTATTTTTATATCGGTAGCTGCAATTATTGATTTTTGAATTTTTATCTTTTTGGGATCTTTCGGATGTGTTGTGTTTTTCTTTAGGTATCTTGGTAGCTGTAATTTTTGTTTTTTGAATTTTTATTTTTATTTTCATTTTTATTTTTTTTGGATCCTTTGGATGTGTTGTGTTTTTCTTTAGGTATCTTGGTAGGAAGAATAATTTTTTCGATAATTATTCACGTAGGGGTATATAGCGTGAATCACTTCGATTGCTTTCGTTATCGGCAAGTTGATATTTTCGGTTTTTAGTAATAATGTTGATTTAGAAAAATCAAATGTTATTTTAAAGGTTCTTTAATATATGACTTGATGATTTTAGTAATCTCGAAATATAATATATTGACAGAGAAAACACTTTGAACAACTTCTTAATATATACATATGTTTGCAGTTTGACCTTAGATTCTGGGCTACTTTTGAAATATTTTTAGTAAGTAAATGTACAATTTACAGAATTCAGTACTAATGAGTTTGAGCTTCATATACTAATTAGCCTTCAGAAGGTTGTCAGTCATTTATTAAATGGTTATTAAGAAAACATGTTCCAATAATATTATGCAGTTTTTGAATACTTGATAAATTAAAATATTAGGTTTCTATTAGGACAAGTTATAGTTTTATTTTGGTATTTGTATTTTGGAATATTTGCATTTTAGAAACTAAAACCGGGCGGGGGGGGGGGAAAAAAAAAGATAATATAATACGTATTGAAAAGTTGAGGTTATTTTTTTAAATTTATTGTAAAATATAAAAGAAATATGTTTTATATTTACATATATAAAAGTAACAATTTTAAATAATTTAAGTATACAGGAAACAGTACGTATAGTATAGTTAATATTTTAGATTAAATTTTATTTTTGCTTATAAAATATACTCGAGTCATTGTTATTTTCAAAATTAATATTATACATGTGTCAGATAAATTTATTCGAAAATAAATATACTATTTCTAGTCACCAGAACGCAACGTATTTTAAACGATTAATTAATAATAAATAAAAAGTTATAAATTTCTGTGAAATACTCGATTAACAATACTTACGTAGAAACAAAAATTCTTGTTTCTTTTAAAATCTTTAGAAAAAAATTTCATACATCAAATTTCAAATCTTTTGAAAATGATTTAAAGAATCGTTCGTTTTTCTTTGAAATTCTTTTAAAACGCACAGTTTTTCGAAAGGTATTTTAAAAATAAATTCGTAGTCACGCATAGTTCGCAAGAACTTTCATTTCGAAACTGTACAGTTTCAATTTGAACCTATTCGTTTCGCGCCACAATGCTCGAATAACGTACGTATACCGATTTCTCATTCTTCCATAAACAAGAAAATTGCGAATAAAGGTAAAATGTGTAATCGTGATCGGATATTATCGTTGATCGAATCCAGTGACTATGTATTGGGACTGCGCGGAGCCACGTGGGAACATTTCGGAGGCATAAGATGGGAATTGTTAGGGTGTCTCACCCTCGCCTGGATAATCTGCTTCTTGTGCCTGATGCGTGGTGTCCAGTCCATTGGGAAGATCATCTACTTCACCGCTCTTTTCCCTTACGTCATGCTTACAGCGCTACTGATACGAGGTAAGAACGTCGAGAGAAACGCTTTCCGTGTAATAGAAACTTCGCCATTGATGCGATTAAGGGGTTATTTTCAGTATCGTACAGATTGTAACAGTAGAATACGGTTTTGGTAGATATTCGATATAGAAAAGGCTCAATAAACTTGTTAACGAAAAATTACACGCTACATTCTTACATTTTTATTTAAATTTATATTTTTATTTTTGCAAAAATTATGCACCATATTTTTATATTTATATTTATATTCATATCTTTATTTACATTTTTGTTAGGCATTCATATTTTCATTTATATTTGTATTAAATATTAAATATTATTTTTATTTTTATTTTGAAATTAATTCTGTCTTGTAGAAGGAAATGTTATTTATCTATATTGTATATTGAATGTTTTGAACATGATTTTTACACTATATAAACAGAGTTATACAATGGATACAGGATACATCTTACAATTAGTTACTGCTTATTATCGTTATTATTTAATATACATATTAGTTTTCTTTTACAGCATGTTTCCAAACTAAAATTGTAATTATTGTTATCAATAACGATATGCTAATGAATTTTTTGATTTCAATTATTATGCATATTTTTGCATCTGTTTATTTAATTTCGAAAGTCAGATATTAGAATTATTATTCACGTGGTCCAATACATTTTATTGGCTTATTAAAAAATATGTAAAATATAAAAATGCAAAAATATACACATACGTTACTCGAGATGTATATGCGAATCGTATGAATTGAAATTTATTTCTTGTACGTTTTGTGTACGTCAAATTTGTTCTATGCAATACACACGACGAATAAGATAGACAAAGGATTAAACGAATTATTTTTAATCTTTTTGACAACATTTGGTTTATATTTTACGTTACTAAAATTCTGTATCGTTAAATTTATAATATATTTATTATGTTAATGATGGAGTTGAGATTAGTAATTTAATTAATAAAATGTGTTCATCAATGAAATAATTTCTCGGGTTTGAAAATAGTTTAAATATGGAATAGTTTAAATATGGAAAAATATAGACTCTGCAAAAATTACAAATGTTGATTGAAAATGTTTTAAAATTTAAAAAATATCTTAGTTTTTACTATCATTTAATTATTTTTAATTATTTTTATTTATTTAATTATTTAGTATTTTTTTATATTGCTTTAATATTATTTTTTATTATTTAATTATTATAGTACTATTTCATCGCTTTTAATGTCTTTTTTACCAATTTTCTTTTTACCAATTTTTGACAAGATTTTCATATCTTTTACTACGTCTTCACAGATTTCACGTACAAAATAATTTAACGACACAAAAATATGTAATACTAATTTTATCATTAATTTGTACACAAATGACGTATTAAACGAACGTACATATATGTACGAAATTATGTTACTTCCCACGAAAATGATAGAGGAATTTATTATGTATAAGTTTTAATAACAATATAATATTAATTTCCAATCATAAATAAGTTAGTTATCGATCGAAATAAATGAACATTTTGAAACACATTATTAATTCGCAATTGCTGGAGAAAAAATATTTTCCAATCACCAAGCATGTTTATTATGAACGCAATAAATCTAACTATCAACGAAATTCGGAAGAGAATATCACATTGGATGAATTGGCAACGAATTGGAAATATATTAATTGATGACATTCAGCGACGACGAAATGGCGTCACGACTCGCGCGAGGTTTTCATTGTATGAAACTTCGTAATTAAAATTCTTCGACGGGATAATTGACAATTTATGAATATTAAAACGCGGTGGTATTAAATGAAATATCTTCACACGACATTAAACTTGAAATGTGAATTAAGGATCGAAATTAAAAACCCTATTCTATGCTGTTGGATGGTGCAGAAATTTCGGATAAATTGCGTGGATTTTGCAAATTAACGGCCAATGTGCTGTAACATAAATCATTTCTAATAATGTCTGCTATAATATTTCGAATATTATCCGTTCAAACGAGAAATAGAATTCGTCACGGTTCAGTACCTGTCGTTATTTATACCGAAATTTAATTAATTCGAATTCTCAGCTCATTGTCAGCTGTGAGAGTGGTTACCTTTTCACATGAATTGCTGCAGACCAACGAAAATCACCACGTCTACTATAGATCACTTTTGGGTATTTATGGTACGTTATATCGCGTATCCTGTCAAGAAAGGGACCTCGTATAATAAATCGAAAGTATAAATGACTTAAATGAAGAGTAATCTGAAAGACGATGAGTAAAAATTACGAATAAAGGACAATGTTGAACTTTCACGTTGTTTAATGGTTTATAATAATTAATAATTTATTAAAAAATTTACTCAAAATATTTATATTTATTAGAAATAATAAATATTTAAAATAATAAAAATAATAAATATTATTAAATAAATATTGACTTCATACATATAAATTATTGTTAAATAATAATAAAAATGATAATTGTTGCTGTTAAATGAAATGGTGGAGATCGATGATAGATCATATCGAGTGAGATCAATTATGTTTTCACAACATAAATGTAATTATCAAATTTATAAATTAACATTTCATTCCAATTCTTATACGAATTATTTTTAAACTTATAAAAAGTAAAACAATTATAGAGATAAAGGGTAATATTACGTACTTGGATATATTTTTACTTCGATATTATAAATGATTATCTTTTAAACGATGTAACGTTCCACAAAATTGGTTTTCGTAATTTTCTATTATTGTATTAATTCTATTAGTAAAAAATATATTTATTATACATTTAGTTCGTCAAATTTGCCATGAAAAAATATTTTATTTGAAAATATGAAAATATGTGTTGAGAATTTGAAAATTATATCATTAAAAATATTTAATTTGTCATAAATTACGTGTTTCTTATAATTGAAAATGTTGCTATAATTATTAGATACTTCATTTAATTAAAAAAATATATTTATTCATAGTAAATACTTCACTTTATAATGAGTACACGATCTATCACTGTTTTATAGTTTATTATGTAATAAATATTTTCATTATCGTATTTCAGCTGTATTAATTAAATTTGATTAATTAAATTCCCATTCTTATTATCTCTATAAGTTGTATTTAGTAAAATTAAAATATATTAATTTAAATTAAAGTATTTAAATAAAAATTGAAATATTAACTTTATAAAGAAATTTTTACAAATAACGGAACATTTTTGTTTTATACAGTATTTTTAGAAACGTGTTCGTTGTTTTAAATAAAAGAATTTATGTGTATTTTTTTGGAGTTAAATGGAAGTAGAAAAAGGTATCGACGATTTGTAACATGTATAAATTCGTTTAAACGATGTTAGATACCTTCTGTACAATGAATGACCGAAAACAGAGGTTTTCTGTCTATATTGAATTGACTGAATATACGATTTTGTGATATTTTTACACTGAAAAATGAAGTCCGTGCAACAATCGCGTAATGAACTATAAGAATTAAAAATGGGGATCTTTCAGAATTCTGTTCTTTGCAAATTTCATAAAATTTTTTAAACAGTCAAAGAATCTCTTTAAAATCAAAAATATTTTATTGAATTCAAATTTGAGCATATGTTTTTAAATCTTTATATAAATCTTTGAGTGGGTTTGAAGTGATTAATATTTTGTTTAGGCAAAAAATGTTGAAATTTTAATGATCTGAATTTTAATAATCTGAATTTTCAAATTTCCATTTTACAATTCTTTTACCATTCTAACTTTGTACTATTGATCATTTTTGCATAATTTTATACGCACACATTGTTAGAACGATCATCAAATATCATTAGATTTATGTGAATGTAAAATTTTGTTAATTTGTATAATTATAATTAATTTAAAACTAAACTTATTAATTATATATTTATTAATTTATAATTATAA